ATGTAGGAGAATTTCAGCTACGTACTAACAACAATTTTACAATTCATTATCTTGCTACATGTTTTCGCAGTGTTTTCTTGTTTTATGTATGCATAACTAAAAATAATAATCATTAATATTGTTTAAATAACGGTCAACTAAATTTCGATGCCTCGCTTGAGAATGGTACATATGTTTTATTATGTATTAAACTGCACCTAATTTTATTCATTCGCTTACATACATACATACAAATGCACATGACTATACGATACAGTTAAAGTTATATAATATATAAATGATATGACTAACTCATGCTTTGTTCTGAATTCGTAATGAGTAAGAAAATTAAAATGTTCTTAAACTTTGCCCTCGCGTTAGGAAGTACTTGGCGTGAGTACAGTAATTTACATATGTATATAAATACAGAATAAGTAAGCAAAGTTGTCAGCTACAGTTTAAACTCGTATCCCATAAGAATTTTTGTCTCAGCGTCAAAGTGTACAACTAAGAATTATGATGCGAAAAGCTCCTTTAAAGTACCATTAAGAATATATAATAACCTACCCCCCAACTTCCAACAAATCCAATATTTAAGAATAATGGTGTATAATAAATATTAAAATTCAATGACTTAACGTTTATATTGGTTTTAACAACTTAAATTTACAAACATAATGCAAAAAAAAAAAATTAAATAAAATAAACAATAAGCGAAATTCGTTAAATCGTTTCAATAGTTTAAGTAAAAATGTAACCAAGATAAAAACGCAAATGTAATATAATAGTGAGAGAATTCAATTTTTTCGCAATATTTATAAATAATACTAATGTCTAACGTTTAAATATTTGATAAAATCAATGCATATTCAAATACAACCTAACACAGACAAAGTCTTGAAATCAATAAGAAGTATCAACGTTTTATAATCGAAATCAAAAGAAATTAGGCAATGAAATTTAAAAAAAATAATTAGCGCAACAATTTGAATAGAAATAAGGAAAATTCATTTAAATACATTTTTTTAATTAAATAAATTTGTGTATGTTATTTACACGGACATAAAGATAATTTGTGTTAGCTGCCAATTGAAGCTATGAGACGTTTAATAAAAAATATTTAGGGCAATTTATTATATTATAAATTATTTAAAGTAATTTAAGTAAATAAACACAATGTCAATCAATTCCTTTAACATTGTCGCACTTGCGGAAGATAAATTGAATGGTTTTGTTTAAAGAAATATCTTGCGTTGAGAAGCAAATACGAATTCACTTGAAAACTTGAAAAATTAAATTCCATTTACTTGAAAAATGTAGCCATATGCCAAATGTAAGCAACAAAAACTTTTCTAAGATCTAAAAGTCAAGCTTATGTGCAAGGAAAATGGCCGTGAAACAGTTTTGTATTTACAAAAAACTAAAAATTCAAAAGTTGCTAGAAAATATGGTGCTGAAATAGCCACTAAAGTTTGTCATTAATTTTTCTTAACACTTAATTGTTTACATTTGCACACGCTCACTTTTGCATAATATATTATGGCACATACGATTATGTAATTTATGCGTTTTGTTAGTATTTTCATTAATTTGTTAGTGACTTCGCCTAAATTTTTGTTGCTCAATCAATTTACCTAAAGGACTACAACATTGGTTGTTTTGTCGTGTTTACGCTTCAACTCGTTAAGTATGTACATTGGAATTTGTAAGGCATAAAATAAGTTAAAACTAAATTAAAAATATGATAACAATATAATACGTGAAATAACGTATAATAAACGCTAACGTTGACCTTGCGATATACCCTGCGTCTTTCTATAGCCACAGCTAAGGACTGTCACTTTCAACGCAATTCCCAAAATTGCATAAGAATGTTTGTTGTTGCTACTAAACTAAAACAACATTTTAAGAATAGAACTGTAATTGAATTTGTTTATTTTTTTATTTTTTTCAAATTCAGCGCTATCTCACATATCACTGTCACTGTCATCAACTAAGCAAAGTAAAACATCTAAAGAAATGCTGGCCTTTTTTGTTTTTGAAATAAAATGTTGCTGGAGAAGTTGCCCGAAAACTAATTAACTTAAGCACAATTATATTGTTCAACAGTGAAAACTATTTCGTTAATATCCAATTTTGCAATTAATCTCTTTTTAACGGTAAACCAGTTATGTTATGTATGTATGCTAGTTTCTTTAATGCATATAAAGTTAACTTTGTTATTAAGTTGGTTGGAAGTGCCATTTTGTTTGCGTTTCTAAGCCAACATAATAATAACTTTCCCTCAACTAAAAAAACACACATTTTGCTATGGCCTTTGAAACAACAACATACCTTTATACCTCTTTATACCTGTATATAATTCATTTTCATTTACTTCCTTTGCTTTCAAATGTAACAAAATAATATAATAGAAGAAATAACTAAACCATAACTCCACTCGATTCACTCCAGATTTCATACATATAACTATATACCATATCGTTAAACTTTCGTATTTTAATATTCACTGTAATATGCCTAACTACAAATTTAATATACTATATAATATCGTTTGTGTTTTTCGCGGTCTATAGCAAAACCTTTATAAAATTCTACAGTCATTTGGGTGTATGTGTATGTGTGTTTGCATCCATTATAAGTTCTATGTAAATATTTAGTGTTCAATATGTACATATAACATATTTGCACACATACATATATACATTACTTGTAACTGTAATGCATAGATGAACATAAATATCTATATAATTAGTATTATTATATTGACAAATTAAATTAACTTCCCTATGTACAAAAATAACGCACATCGTTTCGTGTTTGCCACGCGTTTGACATTTTGACATTTCGTTTATCAATTGCTTAATAACTAAGGTTAAGTTTTGTTATATATATATAGCAATTAATATATATATAAATATATATTATATTTATAATAATAATAATTTCTGACTGATCCTTTTTTATACATATCCTCCGAATTGTATGCGATTCGTCTTTACGTAACTAAAACAGCTGGAAAGAAGTATACAAAATCTTTATTACAATTGCAAAATGAATAAAAAAGAATAAAAATGTAAAACAAATATTATAAATATTTCTGAAATCTAGCTAACTGTAAATAGTTTGGTTGTTTGTGTTCAGGGCTTGAGGCTTGATACGCTAAACGCGCACATTAAACGCGTCTTTCTCGAAACTATGTTTTTAAAGTCGGTTAGCAAGATTTCTTGAGAACTACTTAACCGATCTTCATGAAATTTTACACAGGTCTTTGAGATAAAATTTTTAAAGATTTGGGCGAAGGAGTTTTTTTTTTTTTTTGTTTACAACTATTTGAAAAAAAATTTCTCAAGATTTTCACGGAGTTTTTCATTTTTTTTTTTTTGTAAAAATGTCTGCCAAAAATCCAATTTAAGTTTTTTCCTTCGTCAAACTGCTAAGTTGACGAAAACAAAATGCGTGTTTATATTTTTACGTTAGATGATCCAGTAAGGAGTTAAACTCCCAACGCGTGCGAATCTTTTTTCCCCCAAGGGATAACCGGAAATTGCGTCCAATGCCCGAGTTTGAAATATTTTTATCCAAAAATTTCAGAATATTAACCAAGAATAGTGTGCGTTTGTAACAATAAAAAAATCGAATAAAAATTTTAAATTTTTATATGAGAAAAAATTGCTGAAAAAAATATGTTTTTTACCGAGGAAATCTATGTAACCCCTTAAGATTCTCGAAATTGCAATTAAAACAAGACACAAGCATAAATTGCGGTTACGGTTTAATCGAAGCTATAATCCCAGATAAAGAAAATAACAGTTATTGCATAATTTTTGACTGAAAAAAACACTATGGAAAAGAAAATAGAAAATACATCTTTTCAATTCTTATCCATACAGCACTTGTTCAGTTTGTATGGCACCTATAACCTACAATGGTTTCATCGTCGGTTCCGATTAGCAGCTTTTTCATAAGAAAAAGGCGTATGTAAATCAGATCGATATCTCAAAAACTGTGGAACTACTTCGCGTACATACAGACAGAGGGACGAATATGTCCAAATCGATATATACATACATATTTGCTATATCTTAGCCTCCTTTGGGTGTTACAAACTTCGTGGCATTCTTTTTATTATGCACTATTCACAAGCCCGCTCGTGTTCTATCAACATTTTAAATAATTTAGAATTTGATACTTGCATAAAATTAAGTATTTTAAAACGTTTGGATTTTTTTATTTTTATTTATACAAAATAAATAGAACTACTAAGGTGTTTAATATTTGACAACTTCGAATGGTCATTTCTTCGCCCGTTATGCTTGAACTCTACTTTCTTGTCAAAATCAAATGTCAAAACAAGTGCTCTGTTATGCATTTCATTAAATCAGAATAAAAACTGTCATGATCTATTTTATCTTAACTTAATTATTATTATAAAATATTTGAAATTAATACAATATAAATAAATATGAATATTCAAGAATATGATTTGTCGACTTACCATATTTCTGTATATTGTTGTTCCACAACGTTAGTTCTATTCTTATTGCAATTATTTTTGTGAATAATTAATATCATACAAAACAATTGTTGTACAGTATTATTAAATTAGTAGACTTGTTGCAGCAGCAAATCTGGCGGAGCGCAGCCTACGCAAGTAGTTGCTTCGCTGTTCGTGTTTATTGTATTTATTGATAGCTGCGCAAACTATTTGCAACTGTAATTGTTTGTTGTTGTTCAATATTAGCAGCTCAATTGCATGTTTGGCATTCAAGTGTGTCCATTTAAAGGGATAGTAGCATGAATTGCGGTAGTTTGTGTTATGCAGGCCAAACAGTATTTTTTAATGGAACACAACAATTTCGAAACGTAGCAAATATGTTCACGATTCAAGTTTAAATAGTTTCACACACAAAATTTTGCAAAAAAAAAAAAAAAAAACCCCCACTGCTCACAAATTTATGTCAACTTTTGTTACTGTTAAAGAAAGTCAAAGAATTTTGGTTAGTGTTTGCCTGCGTATGTATAAATTGCTTTAGCGCCTCTTAATGCAACGAACGACGGATACTTTGCGTATGCGTTAATTTCCTGCTACTACATACGCAGACAATACTGAAAATTCTCTCTGTGTGGCTTTCTACTGTACATTGGCTGCATATAAGTGTCCTTAATTTCGGCACTATGCAAGTGAGTGTGCGTGTGTGTAAGCAATTGTGTATAATATATATGTGTGTGAAATGCTGTTCCTAAGCGAAATATTTCAGTTCCTTTGGTGAACATCAAAACTAAGAATTAATTACGTCCCGACTTGCGTCCACTACTGCTGCTTTCGGCAGTGTCGTGTCGTTCACGCACATTCTTCTCTTTGCCATCGTTGTTGCGATTGCGTGCACTCGTCGATAGAGTGGATTGGGTGGCCGCGTTATTGCTAAGCACGCCGCTACTACTGAAGCCACTGCTTCCGCTATTATTGCTGCCGGTGCTTTGGCGATTCTCGCGTAAAGCATCTGAAATAAGTTGAGAAATTATCTTTTTATCTTGTTTCGTCTTCAACAAAAAGTATTTTCCATTTTGGACGTACCTTTATCTTTGGAAATTTCCGCACGTAATGTCACTACATTACTTGCGCTGTTAATCACAGCACCTGTGTTATTGCCACCACCGCCACTGCCGCTATTGTTACCTGTGGCAGTGGTGCCGGTGGCTGCACTCGTCAACGCTTGGCCAACAGTCGTTATGACACGTTGCTTGTCAAATCCGATCGGTTTGTCGCTTTGCTTTTCTACATACTGCAATGCAACAGCTGCTGCTGCTGATGAAGAAGGTACTGTCGCGACTGTTGCGGTCGCCGTCGCCGCCCCGATAACAGCATTGACTACACCGCCCGCTCCACTAATGTTATTAGCAGTCTCATATTTATTAATATTCATTGTTGAAGCTGACAGTTCGCTTTTATTGGGCACAGCAACAGGTGAGGCATTGCCTGAGGCCGAGTTCTCAGAACTCTTGTTGCCACCATCGCCGACGGCGCGCTCCTTGTGATGTTGAGCAACTTGGGCGTAGCTTAAACGTGAACTGTTATTATTTGTCGCACTTGTGGCATTCGCTATTGGTGTGCCCGTTTGGGCTGCCGCAATGTTTTCAATTGAAGCAGTGTTCGTAGATGTGGAAGCATTTTTATGCTTCGTAGCATCTTTTGGCGTTGCCTTTTTGGCTAGTAAATCTGCAACTGCGGGCGGTTTCTTATGATTGCTTAGGCTGCAATCGGCAAAATTTGTGGTCATGGTAGCAACACTGCATGTAACGGCTTGTTGGCCATTATTGCTGGCACTGTTGTTGCTAGTGATGCCCCCGCCTACGCCACTACCGCTGAATACACCGGCTGTAGCTGGTGTTGGTGAAAGCACTGCATTAGCGCTTTTGATGGCACCGCCCGAAGTGGAGTTTGGGCCGCTGCAGCCACTACCGCGATGATTGTGTTGTTGATGTAGCTCATTGCTGCCATTGTTATCGTTGGCATGTTGCTGTTGCTGCTGTTTACATGCTGCTTCTTGTGTCGCCGCGGAAGCAGGCAGATCCTCAGTCTTGTTTATGGGTTTTTCACCAGTGACTGTAAATGAAAATTGTGCTGATTAATTGAAGGAAGCTATAGAAAATACGAGTATATGTACATTTACGGTTATTCCGTTTAAGGTGGTCAACTACAAATAAAAAGAGTTTTAAACATTTCACTCGGTAGATGTGCATAGCGTTCGTTTAAGTCGTTTTAAAGTATGATAAGTGAATATATATATAACTAGTTTACTACTTTGCACGCTCTAGGCGATTGTTAAATGAATTACAATGTGAAAATTCCCCTCTCTTTCTCTATCACCATTAGTATATCTCACCAGTATTACTGTCGAATGATGCATTGCCGCCAGTCAAACTATAGGCATTGGTTTGTTTGGATTGTGTTGGACACTTTATCACAGTGTTGTTGGATGAGGAGGCGGTGGTTGTGTAGTTTGTATTAGCATTTGAGTTTTGCTTATTTAATGTCGAGGACTTATTGTTTGGCTTTGTTGTTGTAACTGCTGATGACATATTTGGTTCATCAGCTGGAAAAGCACCTTCTGTAGCGTTGATGGACGTTGTTGTGGTGGGACTGATGGTGGTACAAGCACCGGTATTACGTTGTTGATAGTTTTGTTGTTGTTGTTTGTTATTGTGGGCGGAATCTTTGCGAGATTTAATCTTCCCATTACCACCGCTGTTCGCGCCAGAGCGCACAACATCTGCCAAACGGTTCTCATTGGACCAGCCACTGCTGTTGGCGACGCCGCTGGCGCTGCTGTGGTTTTGGTAGTTACTACCAACGCTGCCAGTGCTACAGCTACCACCACCACTAACATTCGCTGCTACACCAGTTACCGCCGACGAGGAACTATTAGATTGCTGTACTGCAATAGAAGGGCTTAAACACTGATTGTGTTGCTGTAGTTGGGGTTGCTGCTGCAGGTAGCTTGTTTTTTGCGTTGGCACATCTACGCTGCCACTTATGCTTCCGTCATTTCCGCCACCACCGTAAGACTGCTGAGGCTGCTGTTGTGGTTGCTGTTGCTGAAGTGGTTGTTGATGTTGATGATGATGTGGTGTCGAGTTCGAAGATTGCTTAGTACTTGACACCGCAACATTATTACTGTTGCTACCACTACTATTTGACGAAGCCGCACCAGTAGACGCTAAGGAAGAGGAAGCTGTGGACGACGAAGTCGCTGTTTAAGTTCAAAAAATCAAAGTTGGTTAGAATGCAAATTTGGTAAAACAAAAGATCACTACACATTAATTTTAAGGGACAACTCTTCTTTTTGACCGTAATGTGCATGCTTGAGCGCGTTCGAGATGGCAATCACCACAGCATTGCTGCAAAAGTGTCAAAGTACAACGTTCTGCGTGAGTATATGGCAACATTGCAACAGCGTCACTTTCAGCTGTCACTTTACATAAATAATCGGCACATCAGCAGAGCATGAACAAAAAAGTGTCAAATGTGCAACAGAACCGCTATGCAGCTGTAATTATTACCTAAATCAAACGCACCCTTTCTGATAATACGTACAGAAAATAGTGATATACTTGTTATGAAAAAAAGAGACAAACCTGGCAGTGGCGGAAAAGCTGCTGCTTCTAAATCGAATTGTGGTGGTTGTGGCGGCGGCACATGTTGCTGTTGCTGCTGCTGACCGTGATGTCCATGACCGCCACTGCGATCATTGCTGCGATCGCTTATTCCATGAGCACCATTCGTGCCACCTCCACTTAGGCCACCGTTACCACCGCTACCACCACCACCACCACCACCTACTTCGTGGCGATGATGGTGGTAATGATGCGTTGAGCCCGTATGATGCGACGATGAATGGTGATGGTGGTGCTGCTGTGATGGACCGCCGCCACTATGGTGGTGATGATGTGATGCTCCCGAATGTTGCGAGTGATGACCCATTCCACCACCGCTATTATAATGTGGATTATAATTATTGCCTTTGTAACCACCTCGATGTTCTTCGCGATGTGAATTGTAACTTGAGCCGCCGCCGCCATGATGGACACTTTCACCGCGCTGGCTATGATGCACACTGGCACCGCCGCCACTGCTTTGTGACGATATTGCAGTATTATTACCCACATTTGAGGATAATTGCAGCGTATTGCCGGAGTTGGACGATTGTTGTGTTTGTAATTGTTGTTGTTGTTGTTGTTGCTGCTGCTGTGATTGATGATGTGATGATACGTTACCACCAATGTAGGCTTGCTGCTGCGAAGTAGAGGATTGAATGAATATTTTTGCTTTTTGCGTATTCGCATTGTTTGTTGTGCTTGTTATTATTGATGATGTTGTTGTTGTAGCAAAATTATTACTATGATTATTGTTAGTAGCATTAGCATTAGCATTAGTAGAAGTAGAAGTTTTAGTAGTAGTATTAGTAGTAGTAGTATTGGTGGTGGTAGTAGAAGTGGCAGAACTATTATTGCTAAATTTATTATTATTATATTGGTTGTGGTGGAAGCTGTTGTGGAAGCTATTGGACATTATCTGGGTTTGATTTGATTGGCTATGCTGCTGACTTTGGTGCTGGTTTTGGACATAATGTTTATGCTGGTTTTGGTTATGGCTTTGACTTAGTTCGGTTTTCGTATACGAATTGCGATTCGGACTCGGATTCGGGCTCTGATTCAAATTCATGTTTCGATTCTGATTGGGACTTGCAATTACGTTTAAATTTAAGTTCATATTATGATTAGAGTTCACCGCGTTGTAGTTATCGATGGCAGTGATGACTGTAGTGGTAGTGGTGGTGGTAATGGTGGGGTTGCTAGTAAATGACTGCAAACCACCGCCATGCTGCCCTCCGCCTTCTACGCCACCAACTCCTTCCCCTACTCCGCCTCCACCTCCTCCATTGTCAATGCCGCTAGTATTTTCAATGCATCCAATGTTGCTGCCATTGCCTACATCGAATTCTACACCCATATCGCTTCCACTAACTCCAACTCCACCACCTACCCCAACAACATTGTGCACGAAAGTGCTATAAGGCGTATAAAATGTTGTTATACTGACCCCACCGCTAACTCCGGCGCCACCACCAAGTCGAGTGCTTGGCGTATATGTCATAACGCTGCCGTCGTCATCACGTCTCCGACGACGATGTCGCGGCTGCGTCCAATGCATTGGCGGCTCCTTCCCCACCACACCGACACCAACAGACGACGACGTCGCCAGCGACGATGTTGAACTAGACAGATTACTTCTGCTGTGCTGTTGCTGTTGATGAGGATGCGATGATTGCTGCTGCTGATGCTGCTGTTGTTGCTGCACCAACTCACCACTAGCACCCATGCTTAACACACCGCCATCGTCTTGCAGATCAGCAACATGTTGCCCATGCAAATGTGGTTGCTGTTGCTGATGATGGTGATGCTGTTGCTGCACCGATACGGTTGGCGTAGCATGCGCAAAGGAAGAATGTTGTAGATTTGTAGATGTGGCGGCCGCTACAGCTGCCGTCGCGGAAGGCAATTGGTAGTGATTTTGAGTGCTATTATGTGAACCAGCAGTTACAGCATTCGTCTGCTGTTGCTGTTGGGACGACGCATGATGATGGGAAGGGCCAGCGCTCGATTGGGCTTGAGTTCCATAGTGTATGTGACTCGACATACTGCTGCCTCCACCATAGGGCTTATCCATAGCTGATTTATTAATGCCACCTTTTGAAACAAATACAAACCATTTAAATACCAAATGGTAGACTAACAGATTTTGCTACAAAGCGCAACTTACCTCCACTATTTTTTATACTATTATAATGCCTTGAAGTATTTTGGGGTTGTTGTTGTGATTGCTGCACTTGCTGCTGTTGCTGTTGTACTTGACTTGAAGTCGTCTGCTGTTGTTGCATTTGATGCTGAGGCTGTTGATTTTGTTGCTGCTGCGTTTGTTGTTGCTGTTGGTGCGGGTCCATTATTGTTGGGACAACGCTTACTAAACTACCAACGACATTACCAAGCGTAGCTATCATACCCGGTAAGGGTTGAGATTGTTGTTGTTGCTGTTGTGCAGTGTTGCTACGCAACTTGTTGCGGCCACCACCACCAGCACTGCTGGTGTTATTGCGATGGTTATTATAGCGACCGCCGCCGCTTTGCCCTTTCGATGACGCCGGCAATGGCGTAGCAGATTGTTGTGGAGCAGAAGTTGTGTACGCTGTGGGCACAGCAGCTTGTGGTGTCAACCCATTAGTGGCGAACACATTTCCAAGCTCATAAAAATTTTGACCGTGTGCTGTGGTAGCGGCTGCCGCTACTGCAGCAGCCGCCGGTGGCCACGGTGTTGTTGCAACAATACCAGGATAGAATTGTTGCTGTTGGAAAGATTGCTGAAAATGCAAATATAAATGTGTTGACAGCGTTTATAAAACTATTATAGAGAATCAAATGTCTTACAAATATTACAGGAGCATTATAAGGTACCGATGCCTGTGTCATTGCGGCACCATTCGTAGCATAGACAAATCGTTGCGGAGCTGTGTTGTATGCAACGGCAGTCGCTGCCGCATTAGGATCATATACCGCTGCTGGCGGCGAAGTTATTCGGAACCCATTCTTCAATGGTGCAACCGGTGCGATTGGCAGCCGATTTATGAAGGGTTTCGCTTTCATCCTAGCCATTATGGGCTTTCCCTAAAAATTATTATAATGAAAATTTATAACAGTGTTATTTTTTAAAATCATTGCAAATCATTTACACTTAATAAGAAGTATTAAACTATTGTGACTCTTACTCACCTTGAACATCTTTACATCCTCTCTCAAGTATTTAAAGGCCTTTTGGGCGTCTTCATCTGATTCAAATGTTATATACCATGAATTATTTCCCGCAAATTCACATGATATGACACGTGGACAATTTTCATTATTAAAAATATTCTACAAAGAAAATCGTTAGTTCTGTTTTGCAAATGGCTTCTTTTTAAGTAATAAAATAGTCACGGGTTTATTACCTTTACTTCTTCTACAGGTGTCTTTTCGGATATTTCTCTCAAGATAATAATGCAACGTTTGTGGTTAGGACGCACACGCAAACCATCTTCGTCTACTTGCACATTTGGAGACTCTCTAAGCACTTCCGTGATCAGCTTGATATCCTTGGTAAGCTTCTTTACAAGATTAAAGTTGGCCACAGTTATAATAGGCACGTACTGATCGCTATCCATTTGCGTTAGCAAGTAGGTGTCATTGGCTAAATTCTCTCTGTATTAAAAAATATATAAAAATTGAGTTTGTAAGTGTACAGATTAAAAAAGTAATTTAAACACTCGATGATGAAAAGAATTTTTTTATTTACCTGGAAAAATAGTATTCTAACTGCGTTGATAACATTTGTTTCAGCTGATCTAACGGTATGCCGGAGTTTTCTACTGAATTCGTATTGTTGCTGAGATGCTGGTGTGACTGATGTTGATGCGGACCATTACTTATACCAAGAGAATGTGGTTGTGTTTGATGAGAGCCCACAGAAGTAGGAGTTCCCGCCATCGAAACATCGACCGCTATTAAATTCGTTCCAGCCGCTACACCGGACAACTCCTCCGGTTGCGCGTAGCAGACGGTAGAGCCGTCCTGTGCAATTGTGCCATTCATAACGGCGGCTGCGTACTCTGAGCTATCAATTGTTGTTACGGCTGGTCCGCCAGTAGCAACCTGTGCCACTGTTTGTTGTTGGTGAGCGTATTGTAAATGTGCGGTTTGATGCGTGGCAGTTGGCAACGTTTGTAGAGAGGCACCAGCACTAGGGGGTTGCTGTGTGTGCGGACCGGCTACGGCGGCAGCAGCGGCGGCGGCGGCGACCGCTGCACTATGTGAATGTGTGTGTGCGTGTGGATGAGTATGCTGTATTAATTGTGTATGCTGATGTTGGTGTGGGTGTTGACTGGGTGGGGGTGCAGCAGCTACTTGCAGAGCTTGTGGATGTGGTGGTTGTGGTCCTGTGGTGGCTATCAAAGGAATATGTGTTGCGGCTGGTGCTGCCAATTGCGTTGTCGGCCCGTAAAGATTAGTTGTGGCTAGCATCGCTGTTTCAACGGGTACATGAGCGTAAATTGTGTTTGCAACAGGTGGTTGTAACTTGACTGCATCTCCATTCATATATACATAACCACCAGCTAGAGGATATTAAAAATAATTAAATATAATGTAAAAAACAATCTTAAGTGGTGTTGAATAGTTTTGTTGGAAAACTTATGGAATTTTATAAATTAAAATAAGAGTTATACACAATATATGTATATTCAAACAAGTGTACGTAAACTAGAAAGCATGTAATATCTATTCATTACAAGTTTAAAGGTCAAGCAAATATAATCTGTGTATGTATGAATTTCTAAACAAAACCAAAAACTATATTTAATTGTTTTATTTTTTATTTTTATTTGATGTTAGTAAATATTTGTATTCATGTTCCTCATATATTCTCTAATATAATTTATATGAAATAAAACATCATCTCGGCCTTCTTCTTCTAAATACCTAATTTCTATACTTCAAATAACATGTCATATTTTCAAAATGGTATAGAAATGCTAGTTAATACGTGTGCAGATTGAGAAACAAAACAAAACAAAAGAGAAAGGAATTCTCAACCTTTGGAAAAATCATTAATGCAGTTGAGGCTAAAAAAGCGAACAGCTGCTGAGCTTTTCTACATAAATAATATAGGTAGAAAAATACGAACCCCATAGATATTCCATATTGTGCGATATTTGGAAACTTCAGAACGTTCACTTTTATTAAATAGCTATACCGTCGCTGCCACTTGACTGACCGTCTTAACGCACGCACTTACGCACAATATGTACGTTCAAGTGCGCGCTGTATTTGTTGAAAATTTTAATAGATACACTTAGGAATATTATTTGTTTTTATTCAACTTCGAACCTCTTCGTTGTAATGTTTTTACTTTAATTGCTGATATTACATTAGTATACTATTCATTGTCAAAACAAAAGTTGACGACTGACGGCCACCGCCTTCGTCGTGCTGTCGACGTCCAAGTTTTCTGTTCCCCTAGTTTTATGTTATTTCAACCTTTTCCGCTTGATCGGTAGAAATTTGTCGTCAACGTCGCGGTGCCAACGTTGGTGTCGAAAAACTGCTACCGCAATCGCTAGCAACGTTGCTGCCTCGTTTGAATGACTTAATTCTAGTTCTCTTTTATTCAATTTCCTTATCTTTCTTTGTCGCTTATCCCTTGAAATTATCGCTTGCCCAACTTTTATCCTCTTTCTGTACGTGGTATTTTTCGTAGTCTCTAATTTTCCTCGTATGTGTTGTTTCTATTTCTAATTTTATTTCTATTCATTTTACTTTACTGAATTATAAATTTTCTCTCAAAACGCACTTTATTCAAATGCATCAATTGCAAAAAGATGAAAGCTGTAAAATATTTAGCACTAAGCGAATATTTTCATTTTCCTTTTCATACAAAATTTCTTTTTTCTTCTCTACATAGCCTTGCTGCGATGTAGCTACCACTTTTTTCACTTCATCAAATCAGACTTCAATCAAATGCCTACACGTTTTTCGAAGGAATTTAATTACAATTTCAAGAATTGTCTACATGTATTCACTTCGTGAATAATTCTACACAAATTTCACTTGGTATATTTTATTTATTTCTGCCACAAATTAGCGAATAAAATTTTTGACATATCATTAAATAAGTCAGTCGCCGTTTAACTTTCGCCCCGTTTCAATATTCACACTATTCCTCAAGCACAGAACGGCCAGCCAGCAAAATATTTCTGACATATATTGAAATGAAACGATTCAGTGTTGCTAACGCTACAATTTCAAAAACATGTGCACAAGTGAGCAGTGTTGCATGAAATAAAGTCACCGCCACACAAAAATTGATTCCCAATCCAAAGCAACAAAACAGATGTGAGTATACGCGCTAGCGGGATTCCCCGTACTACTACAAGGATTTCCATACATAATTAAAATTTTGCTTTTTTAATTGTACACATGCATATATAAAACATGGATGGAATTTTTGAAATACAAGGTTTAAATAATTAATTTTCCCGTTTTTTTAACAGCTTATTTAATTACATATTGACAAAAACAGAGTCTGTAAGTACGTATAGTATATTTATATAGTAAGAATGCACGCGTAAAGGCTCATCGAAGATATGATAGAATTTACCTTAATATTCACGAACATACACGTACAGATACCTTTTTATAGCTAAGCAAAGAAAAAAAGATTTGGACAAGTGTGGAACGAGGCTTATAAATTTTATCTTAGCAAAAGTTTAAATCAATAATATCGGGTACAACCAGACAAAATACAATTATTTTGTTTACAAATATGGGGCAATATTTTTGCATGCCATAGGAGACCTAATCATTCAAAACCCCCCTCTATATGATCCGCTGGAGCAGCTCGTTTCCTGAACTATCCATTAGAGGATCTTGAAGATAATAAACTTGTACCCCTACCACCCAAACCTTTACAAAAACAACTGTGCTTTGAGAAATTCTAAGCTCCATACAATTACATTCAAAAATGACGAATTAAATGTAAATGTACATACGTACACATATATACGTATATGTATGTATTTCACGTTTCCATTGTTAAATATGATATTTTTTATCTACGATAATTTTTTCTGTTATCACATATTGGAGTCTAACGCTTTGAATGGCTTCCCGTTTAGCAATTACTAACGTAAATTGTCCAAAAATAATACATTTACTATTGCCCAATACCTAAATCAATTTTGATTGAGGATACAGTTTATACAAATGTTTACTGTTTGCATTTTCACAACTTCAATTAAAAAAATATTTAGTATATAAAAATAATAATAAAATTAAAAAGATCAAAAATTAATTTCAATTGCCAATTTTACCTTTGAAAATACATACTATATATTAATAAATATTTAAGTGGAACTTATCTAAACTTTTGAATATACTATATTGGATATGTATGTATGTATGTGACAATGGTGCATATTATTTCAATTAAATAAAAATTGCAATCTAATGACCGTTTGTAAATAAAGCAAAAATGACATATGTACACAAATAGCACTTATAGGACAAGGATTGGATGTGACATAACCATTATGGGGAAATGCACACTTACCACCAATATCCATTCCACATACAACGTTTTCTGCAACAAATGAGTAAATGATGATGTCTTTTGTGAAAAGACTAGCTTTTCACAAACTATACGGCTGAGATGCAGCAACAACTTAACAAGACGTATTACTATCTTCGTTGGGCAGTTAGTGATACTTATATAGTTTTCTTTTGCGACATTGCTATTTTTATTACTTTTTATAAAAAGAAAGATTAAAAATAATACCAATTATTAAACTTAGACAAATGTTAGAAAAGTTTAAATGTAACCATACAATATCGAGTATAAGGAAAGAAATGTCACGTATTTGAAATTATATATCTCTATGATTCAATATCCTACGGAATTTTTTATATTGTTACAACACCACAGGTAATTGCACATTTATTGTTGCAGAATATAACATGGATATTTAATTGCTACACATTTGCCATTTTATCATTTTTATCAATGAAACTTTTGGTAAATAATAAATTTACGTACATTTCTACTAAATTTGATTACATTATAGAGAATTAATTATTACTTACGTTTTTTTAACGGTAGAATAAATTTTTATGATAACAGCAATTCTAGTTGTTTGTAGGTATTAAGCACTGAAAGATCGCTGATGTAGTTTTTTTTTTCAAAAATTCGTCCACTTGCTAAGGTATATACACATTAACTGTGATACTTTCATTTAATAAATTTTTTTTTTATAAAACAGAAATCACTCTGATTTCTTTAACACACACCTTTTTACAGAAAAGTTATATCTTTAAAGAGTATCTAGCTGCAAATATGTTGAAACCACTTGTTCTGTATTGTTGTTTTTTTATAGACACGTAATGCAAGCCGTCAAGAGACACGTAAAATTCACACAAATATTCGTTTTAAGATTAAACTATGTCAACAATACTCTTTAGATTTACATAAAAGTTATATCTTTGTCCAGACACTGATCTTTACTACTTCAAAGTCATTATTACAATGAAAAATTATTTTATTTTAGCGCAATGGTGAGTTATTTTTGCTAAGACAAAAGCCGCTACGTTCTGTTTCCGTTTTCACGCTTTCGCAAATTCATCTGACTTTTCCTTTACCTAAATTCTTTACGCCTTTGTTAGCTTCTTCGCAGCACACTTGCGACAGCTTGCGATCAACAGTTTCAAATATTCCGTTTCGTTTTCACTGTGCCAGTGTAACGAGATGAATGTATGAATAGCTACGCGATAGTGTCAGAATGTGCAACTGTCAAACCGGTAGTATTAATAAATATCGGCGCAAGCGAGACTGCAGTATACAAAATTAATAAGATGCATTAACCAGAGAACGTAAAGTATATATTTACGTTCTCTGCATTAACCGTCATTAGCGACAGTGGTACAAGAAATTCATACCTTGTTTCTCACTTTCATCAATGACTTAGCTACGATTTACCCAAAACCGCCTTCTTTACATTCATTTTCCCCCTTTTTCTTTATTTTCTTCCGTACACTGAGTTCTTCAAGTCTTGATAATTCCTTTTTTAATATTCAATATATCACAAATTTATTACACTTGCATAATGATTGCACACATTTGCGATTTAATATTTCCGCAATTATATCCACAATCTACGGTTTAGAATCGAAAATTTCGAAAAAATTGCACCCACAATCGCGACACAAGGGAGTGTAAACCGATGTATATCAAAGAGAAAACAGAACTGAAGAATAGTAAGTAGAAGGGAATAAAAAAGCAGGGATGTTACCATTTACAGTTTGTTTTTTAAATTGTGAAAGAGTTATAAAAATACCTAAATTTAACTCAGATAAATTTAAAAGTGTTTTACTTTTACTAGAATTAAATTTATTACATTATTACAGCGTTTTTGGATATTTCAAATATTTATTTATTTATATTTTTTTCCGTTATGCTTAACAACATATATATTTTTTTGCTATTTTCTTAATAAACAGATCTAAATGCATAGTTTTGAAAATCAATTATTTTTTTTCAACTTCGGGTTGATCATAAGCATTGCTACTTGTTGAACGTTCTCAAAGACACTCTTTTGCATATTAATTATTAATTGCATTGTATTTGAAGTAAGCATCACTTGCAAAGTTAACAAACAATTTTCGCTAGACTGTAAGTTTAGTTACTAAAGCCATAGAGTAAACGCTTTATATTTAAAGCAGGGCTTAAGCTGTAAAAAGCATTTTTTTAAGTAAAGAAAGAGTAATACATTTCATACGAAAAAGCGTGTCAATCTCTGGAATCACCCTGTTCAAGAGTGCCTCGCGTCTTTTAGCGATGCCGAAATTTGTTGAGCAAAGAATTTGCATTAAATATCATTTCGCCAAAAACTCAACCCATATCGTTCCGCAACCACCGTATTCACCTGATCTGGCGCCGTGCGACTTCTGGCTGTTCACCAAGCTCAAAAGACCGCTCCGGGGACACCGTTTTTATACGATATTCAAGCCGCAGCGAAAACGGTACATATAAATCTATATCTGTTTCGATTAGTTTTAGGAGTTACAAACAATCGTTAGATGAACAAAACTATATATACATACTTATAGTTTTATTCTGTTACGAGGCTATAAAAATTAAGTGACAGACCTCATCGGGGAAAAAAATTAAAAATTAAAAAAATAAATTTCGACTTCTTAAAGCATTCCAAATTTATACGTATTAAATTTTTTTCGCTTGAAAATATGTATTTAAGAAGCATTGAGGGTTTTAAATCAGTCGGCAAAAATTAAATCCATAAAAATTTTCATATTGTATATTCACACATATATGTATACATAAGTATGTTAAATTAAACCTTCATGTTTTCAAATATTTATTACTAAGCACTCATGCACTCTAGTATAGCAAGAGTTAATGTAATCTTATCTAGTGATATTCTTCGGTAATTATGAAGTTTTTAGAAAATTTAAAATAGGAAGAATGAAGTATATATTATATTATCAGTGCATTGCAATACATAAAAGAAGCGACGCAGCTCTGCTGTAATTTTGTCAAAGTTCAGTAACACCACCGCTCTAGCTCCATTCTTTGTTATTGTTCAACTAAAATCACTAATGAATACTCAAAGGGATGAAGGTCACATATACAAATTCATTTGAAGAATGCAATTCATGCATGTACATGCGTATGTGTGTGTGACCGTCTGTTGCAGCAAATAGTTTTGCAATCACTGTTGGCCTCTCCCACATGCATACCATATATACATTTACATACATACATATATTTAGCGAACATTGTATGGTACATATTATCGAGATATATTAATTCAAAGATTTAACAAGGTGTTTTTGCAGGTAAAGGTTAAAGGCACATAAAGTGAGGCCAGCGCAATGCCTGAAAGGTATTACTTGGAAATATTAGCATCTCGATACTAACATACATACTATATATTATATGTTGTGTACTATATAAATTATATACTATATAAGTAACATTACAATACACATGCATACATACATAGGTACATATTCGCAGGTAAAGAATAATACAAAAATATTTGCTTTATCTCATTTATGAAGTGTAAACCATAAAATTTGCTATTGATCCTTAAAACTTTTACGGGACATCTAGAAGGCAATATATGTTATTTCGATAATTTTATTGCTGTCAATATTGCCATTATAAACTGCATATTGCTTATGGGTGGAAATAGTTCCTACAATATTTATTCTGATAAGTATTGCTGGAAACAAATTCTCCTTTTGAAAGTTTCACTGCTCTGTTTTAATTTAAAAAATTCGTAACCATGGTCTAGACCAACCCCATTTATATTTCACGCTAAACCATTAATAGAGATATTCGATCGAAATTGTTTATCTTCTTCTTCTTTATTGGCTCAGACACTGCTTACGCGGTTATAGCTTAGTTTACAACAGCGCGCCAGTCATTTCTTCTTTTCGCTTTTTGGCACCAATAGAAGATTCTATGTGTAGCCAGGTCCTTCTCCACCTGACCTTCCTTTTCCCCTGCTTCCCCCGGCGGGTACTGCATCGAATACTCTTAGAGTTGCAGCATTTCATCTTAATGCGCTGAACAATGTCAATGTCGTCTTAAAACTCGTGCAGCTCATCGTTCCATCTAATGCCCTAATCGCCGTTGCCAATGCGCAAAGGACCATTAATCTTACGCAGAACCTTCTCCCGAAAACATGTAATGCCGACTCATTAGATGTTGCCATCGTCCATGTCTCTGCACCGTATAGCAGGATTTGGATGATGAGTGACTTCTTGAATTTGATCTTTCTTCGTTGAGAGATGACTTTACTTCTAATTTGCCTACTAGATTCGAAGTAGCATTTGTTGGGAAGAGTTAATCTGTGTTGGATTTCGAGGCTGACATTGTTGTTGGTATTAATGCTGGTTCCAAGATAGACAGAATTATCAACAACTTCGAAATTATACTGGCAACAGTGACTTAGGCGCTAAGTCGCGAGTGCGACTGTTTGCCTGATGAAGGGAGATATTTCGTCTTGCCCTCGTTCATTCCGAGACCCATTGATTCAACTTTCAGAAAGCAAAACTAGCGGCGCGGTTGTTGGCCAATGATATCGATGTCATCGGCGTACGCGAGCATCAACTTGTTAATCTGATAATTCGTTAGTTGATACTTCGTTAAAACACTTAACAGTAAACATACCTTTGGTCCTATCTCAGAATTATGGTAAATTTTGTATTTTGTGAAGAATTTATCAAAAATTATTTTTAATTAACTATTTTACTTTTGCGCAATGAATCAATTAGGCAAATTACCAAGTTACGAAAATATTAGGGGTATTCAGACCAGTTTTGTTAATTCGTTAGTCGTTACTCGTTAGTTCTTTACGCGGGTTTTGTTTTTTGTAAATTTTGGCAAGCATGATTTCGTTACTTGGTAACATCACTCAACCCTTGATTCCGAACGTTCGGCTCGGCAGCTATATGCTATAGTGAGCCGATCTGAACAATTTTTTCTGCTATTACATTATTTCTAAAAACAATAACTCATACCGAATTTTGTGAAGATATATCGTCAAATGAGGAAGTTTTCCATGCAAGCGTTTGATTCCGATCATTCAGTTTGCATGGCAGCTATATGCTATAGTAATCCGATCTGAACAATTTCTTCTGATATTACATTATTTCTAAAAACCATAACTCATACCGAATTTCGTGAATATATTTTGTCAAATGTGTAAGTTTCCCATACAAGAACTTGATCATTTATATATATATAATATAATACATACATACTTTATAGGGTCTCCGACACTTCCTTTTTACAAACTGCGTGACTAACTTAATATACCCTGTTCAGGGTATAAAAATACATTTGCTGTCTACTACAAATTAGTTTCTGATAAATTTTTCAAAAGTAGGTGTTTAATATAATTGAATCAGCTGTTTTGAAACAAAATTTACACCCACTACTGATGTACAGCAAAAAGTATGTTCACAGCTATGTGTTTTAACGAAGTATCAACTAACGAACTACTAGTAAAACAAATCCCGGTCTGAATACCCCTATTCTTAAGCCTGCCAGTCAGGTATTTTATTACTCGGTAAAACGGTAGTCTGACTAATTAGCAAAGCTGGTCTAAATACCCCTAAATACCCCTAATATTATTATACGAAGAATATCGGAGTTTGCGTAGTATCGAATCTAACTATTAACTATTATCATGTCACATACTAAAAAAATGTTCTTTGGGTTTCATTAAGGTACCTCACATACAATCATCAATCACATGGAGTAAAGTCAGCCGTATGTTCGTCAAGTTTTCGCCCAATTTTATTTCTTTTTAGCACAAAGATACACTGTTATATCATTTTCATTGAGATAACTCAAATATTGGCCATTCAGTGAAGTATTGACCCGATTCAACCTATTTTCAATACACAGAGTTACAAATACCTAGAGGCTTGAATAGTTTTGGTTGGTTTTGGGAAATTTTTGGTTATAAGGTGGTATACTTTAAAGGAATTATTAGTGCAAAGTATTATAGAACTATATCAATTGCATACTAATTTGTGTAAAGGAATTATTAGTGCAAAGTTTTATAGAACTATGTCAATTGCATACTAATTTGTGCACTGGAAAGTGAAAGAATCAAATGGAATTTAAAATAGTGCTATATGGGATGTAGGCGTGGTTGTACTCCGATTTCGCCCATTTGCACAACGTGACATAAGAATGCGAGAGGAATACTAAATTTAGTTGAAATCGGTTTGGACAGGTCCTGAGATAGGTGATTTCACCAAAAAGTGGGCAGTGCTATGAACGTCGGCCACTTTTCACACCGGCTCCAAAGAAGTCCTTTCATGCCATCTCGGGTGTAAAATTTAATATCTTTGGTGTATTTAGTTACTGATTTATTGCACGTGTATTAGTTTTTAACAGTACCGTAATGCGGTAAGTGGGCGGCGTTATCTTCCGATTTCGACCATTTTCACACTGTCGGTAGAATTTCTTATAAGATTTGTACTAATAAGTGCCAAAATTGGAATCACAATGGTGTGATGAACGCAAATTTAAGCAAGTTAAGCTAGCTTACTAATATTACTTCAATAATACTTAAAGTAAAAGTATCACATGTAATTTAAAATTGTGTTATATGGGACGTAGGCGTGATGTGGTTTCATTTCGCTCATTTTCACACTGTAACCGAGAAATGTGA